GAATGAAAGATGACTTGGAGTTTGTAGTATGCATAGCTTTTTCCTATCTGCAATTTCCATATAGGAACACATTATGCAAGGAGGGGTAGACTGCACCAGTTCTTCTTACGCAAATTTCTGAATAGCAAGCAGTCTTCAGCCTCCTCCTAGTATTGATGGAATGTTTAAGATTAATCCTGACATGATTTGATTTTTAACATTTCTCCACTGCTGTCATCAGGTTACAATAATGAACATTTCATTTCCAATTACAATTCTGTCCGTTATTAAAGTTCATACAGCAATAATTTGATGCAATTGGCATGATGATGACATAGGCCTCCAGACGTCAGTTTAAGATGTCCTTTCTCTGATTTCTTTGGGGTTCTTTCTTTCCATTTCAACAAGCTTTAGCTAGCCTTAAGTGCTGCCATATCTTACCAAACTGTATTGTCGTGTCTTTACTACCATATGCATGAGTTGACTTGCTACCTTTCTAAAAAAATATTTTTGGGATGTGAGATAATTAACAATGGTAGTTCACATGACCTCACTCATATGGTAAAGTTGTGAGTTTTTGTATTAGTGGTGTTTTGTATACTACCAAAAGGATGTGCCATAGCTATACAGCAGATCATACAGGGTAGCTTGTGGCTTTCATATCAATGATGAAGCCATTCTGGGTTCAATACAAAATGTAAAGGAGCAATCCAAGTGTTGCACCTACATTGGAGACAGGGTTCAATTTGAGCTTCTGTTAATTATCTTGGCTCTTACTTGACACTCCTCTTGACATTCTTTCTCTTTTTTCTCCAATATGTGCAGTTACTTTACAAATTCTTACAAGGTTGGGTATCATTATTCATCTTCTTCCAGATCCTTCTGGTTACGCCATCTGTGGCCCCTTCCACACAGATGAATAAAATCCCACATTATCAGCTTTGAACTGGAATATAGGTCAGTATGTGGACTCAGATAACCCCGTTTAAAGCAGATCTTGTGGGATTTTCTGTCTTGATATTCTGGGTTATATGGCTGTGTGGAAGGGCCCTCAGTTGCTGGGAGGGTAAGCATCATTCTATCTTTTCCTGCTTTGCAAGTGATGATGTCTTTGCATCTCTAGCTGGAGGTCTCTCTAGTCCAGGCATGGGCAAATTAAGGCCCAGGGGCCAGATAGGCATTTACCTCAGGCCCTCATCATTATCCTTGTCCTCTTAGCATAAGGACATGGTGACCCATCATGTCCTTATGCCAAAAGGATGAGGGCAAAGTGCATGCAGCAGCTGAGAGCCCTCTGGAGCACTGTCAGCCACTGCATGTCTCGCCCTCCTCCTGGCATAAAGACGGTACAAGTGGCCCCATCCTTATGCCAGGAAGATGGCTTGAGGAAGACACATGGTGGCTGAGAAGCCCCCAGACCACTCTCAGCCACTCCTTCTGGCATAATGGCAAAGGGACAGACTGAGGATTGAGAGAGGAGGATCGGGAGGGAGGAACGCAGCAGTTATCACATATCTTACCTTACTCCCAGCCAGGCATGTAGCCGGGGGGGGGGGGGGGGGCTTGAGGGGCTTCAGCCCCCCCCCCCCAATTCTCATGGTGGTTCGCGAAAAGGCCTTACTGGTGCATTATTTAAACTGTTATGTTTATTCATATCATGATCTGATCACCATACTCAATATATCCCATATGCATGGGGGTATTGGGGTAACGATACAAAAGGTTTGCTAGGGTAGACCCTCTTTCACTCAGACTCCCCCCCCCGAAACTCAGCCCCCGAACCCCCCCTGAAAAAAATTCAGCCCCCCCCCCGAAAACAAAATCCTGGCTAGGCCTGCCAGATAGGACTGTTTGCACTGTCCTTATGCCGGGAGAACAACCTGAGGATGTTGACCCAGGCCTTGCCCTACTCATTTCTGCTCCTCGGAGGCCCATCCTCCCCCCTGGCTGGGCCCATATTGTGGCCCCAAGGCAAAAAAGTTTGCCCATGCCTGCTCTAGCCCCTTCTATACTGCCATATAATCCAAATTATCAAAGCAGATAATTCACATTATCTATTTTGAACTGGATTACAGCCATATTTGTTGTTTTATTTGTTAAGTCGCTTCTGACTCTCCGTGACCTCATGGACCAGCCCACGCCAGAGCTCCCTGTTGGCCATCACCACCCCAAACTCCTTCAGAGTCAAGCCAGTAATTTCAGGGATACCACCATCCATATTTACCTTGGTCGGCCCCTCTTCCTTTTTCCTTCCATTTCCTCCACCATATAATCCAGTTCAAAACAGATAATCAGGATTTTATATGGCAGTGTAGAAGGGGCCTCTGTCTGCCTTGCAAACAAGTTCTGATTCAATGAGTCCTTTTGGGTCCTCAAAGCTACTCTCAATAATTTCGTATCACAACCACAAATGCCTTAAACTTGTTTATGAACAAGCTGAAAAGTACCAAGGCCCAATACAACTCTTTGGAGGGCTGTACATTTTTGACATCCTTCCAGGATGAGAACTGCCTATTTAGACCAGGGGTCCTCAAACTAAGGCCCGGGGGCCAGGTACGGCCCTCCAAGGTCATTTACTCAGCCTAAGTCTGGGTCAACCTAAGTCTGAAATGACTTGAAAGCACACAACAACAACAACAATCCTATCTCATCAGCCAAAAGCAGGCCCACACTTCCCATTGAAATACTAATAAGTTTATATTTGATAAAATTGTTCTTCATTTTAATTATTGTATTATTTTTAAGTGCTTTTTGCACTACAAATAAAATATGTGCAGTGTGCATAGGAATTCATTCATGTTTTTTTTTTCAATTTATAATCCGGCCCTCCAACAGTTTGAGGGACTGTGACCTGGCCCTCTGTTTAAAAAGTTTGAGGACCCCTGATTTAGACCTTCTCTTGGCATTTTCCTCTGCAGCCAGCTCCCAGTCCACAAGAGGGCCTCTCCTCTTCCTTCGTGTATTTCGCTGTCTTTCAGGTTCTCATTTATAAAGGGAACTGTAATAGTTGAATGAAAAGAGTTGTACACGTGTGTGTTTGTATGTGGTCAGGCTGGATTAGATTATTGATCTTTCAGGTGGTTTTCACTCCTATGATTCTGTAATTTTGTCTACAATTTTGATTTATTTATTTTTTAAAAAGAAAAAAAATGAAAACAATGAAAGCAGTATGAGGCAGTTTATAAAAGTGCAAAAAGCAGTAAAAGCAGCAAATAAAAACCCACTCAACAAACAAATCCAATAACAATTTTCTTGGTAAATGATTATCAGCATGGGTGTGAAGGGGCTGTGCCGACTGCACTGGGAAGATTGTTGTAGGTGGGCCACCCAAGCTCAAAATGGTCTCATTAGCTGCCAGCTATCACGTATCCAATGGTGGGGAAAGGCATTTACAAAGGTTGACACAATATGATGATGCAAAAATGCACATGTTCCTGCAAATGACTTTCCAAGTCCAACTTTCAAAACCAGACAGAGGGCTCATCTCACTGGCAGGAGGTACTGCAAAATGTACTTTTTTGCCATTGGGTTACATCTTGGGAAGCACTAACAAATAAAAAGATCTTTGCATGTGTGGAAACTGAAAACTCAATTTTCCTAAGGGTATAAGGGTCCTTCCACACAGTCACATAACCCAGAATGTCAAGGCAGATAATCCACAGTATCTGCTTTGAACTGGGTTATCTGAGTCCACACTATCATATAACCCAGTTCAATGTGGGATTTTTTTTCAGCTGTGTGGAAGGTGTCTAAGTTGACAGCTGACTTGATGTACATGAGAAGTTGCTACAGTTGATCAGTATTCACAGAGATGGGTACAGTCTTCTCTTCACATTCGTGGTTTTGACTTTTGTGGTTTTGATTAAAATATTCCCTCTGGGACTTATAGTTTCCCAAGGTCTGTACTCTTCCCTTGGTGCATACCATGGCTTCATACTATGCAGTCCAGGGAATTATTGTTTCCCAAGGTTCGCACCCTTCCCTTGGTGTATTTACACTATGGAATGAATGCGCTTGGGCCCCACTTTAAATGCCATAGCTACATACTATGTGGTTTTGGGAGTTAAGAGTTTCCCAAGGACCATACCCTTCCCTTGGTGCATTTACACTATAGAATGCATGCTCTTGCACCCCACTTTAAATACTATAGCTCCATAGTATGCCATCCTGGGAGTTATAGTTTTCCAAGGTCTGTACCCTTTCCTTGGTGCATTAACACTATGGAATGAATGCCTTTGGACCCCACTTTAAATGCCATAGCTCCATACTATGCGGTCCTGGGAGTTATAGTTTCCCAAGGTCCATACCCCTCCCTTGGTGCATTTACACTATGGAATGAATGGTCTAAATACCATAGCTCCATACTATGCGGTCCTGGGAGTTAGAGTTTCCCAAGGTCCATACTCTTCTCTGGATGCATCTGCACTGGAGAATAAATGCATTTTAAATGCCATTCTCCTCCTCTCCTCCCCCTCCTCCTTCTATGTCTCCATGGGAGTCATAGTTTTCCAAGGTCCATACTCTCCTCTTGGTGCATTTACAGTATGGAATGAATGCCCTTGCACCCCACTTTAAACGCCATGGGTCCATGTGAAGGGAAGGGCCTGAGGCTGTTAGGAATGGTGGGAGTTGAAGTCCAAAACATCTGGAGGGAGGGCCCAAGTTGGACCAGGCCTGGTCTAGATACATCCATACATACTCATATTTTAATGCATTTTACATAGTTTTCATTTGCACCGCGTCCTAGTTATTGTTATCCGCCTGGATTCATAGAATCATAGAATTCGAAGAGACCTCATGGGCCATCCAGTCCAACCCCCTGCCAAGAAGCAGGAAAATTGCATTCAAAGCACCCCCGACAGATGGCCATCCACCTGTTCAAAAGCTTCCAAAGAAGATTCCTTATGTCGGGAGAGAAAGGTGGGATCAAGTTCAGCTCAGTAGGTCCCCAAATCCACAGAATGCAGGTGACTACCTCTTTAAACCATGGGGGGGGGGGGGTGCAGCCTGACCATGTGACCGCTGGCAAGGCAGCCGGTGAAGCTGCAGGAGGAGGCATGAGAGGGAAAGAGAGAGCGAGAGGCGCCCGGACCAGAGCCCCCTTCGCCGCAGTCCGGTGCGGCTCCGTATTTGCCAGCCCAGGAGCTGCGAAAGTTCAGGGCGGCGGCGGCGGCGGGGGGATGCAGGAGGAGGACGCCCAGGTTTGAGCAGGCTTCCCGGGAGCAGAATGGTCCCTTCTCCGCCCCAGACGGCGGGTCCTGGCTGCGAGGTCTTCGCCTGGAGGAGAACCTTCCCCTGGTAGCCCCGCGGGACCCCGACCGGGAGGAAGTGAGTGAGTGAGTGAGTGGGGCATGTCTTCCCTCGCGTGGGGCGGCGGCATCTCTGGCTGGTGGGCAGCAAGGAAGGCTTGCAGATGAAGAGGAGAGGCTGGGGTGGAATACCACGCTCAGATATCAGAGCAGAGCGTGACTAGAATGCCCTGGATTTTGTTCTCTCTGTCTCTGTGTAGTCTGGGGAAGGCAAGGCAAGCAGAGTCAGTCCTGGGAACAAGTTCTTGGAGAAGACAACGCCAAGGAACGCTATGTGCTGTATGTAGCAGGCATGGGCAAACTTGGGCCCTCCCTCCAGGTGTTTTGGACTTTAACTCCCACCATTCCTAACAACCTAACATTCTGAACATTAGGAAGAACTTCCTGACTCTGAGAGCTGTTGAGCAGTGGAACTCTCTGCCCTGGAGTGTGGTGGAGGTGCCTTCTTTGCAGGCTTTTAAACAGAGGCTGGGTGGCCATCTGTTGGGAGTGCTTTGAATGCGATTTTCCTGCTTCTTGGCAGGGGGTTGGACTGGATGGTCTCTTCCACCTCTTTTTTTTTTTTTGTCATGTCAGGAGCGACTTGAGAAACTGTAAGTCGCTTCTGGTGTGAGAGAATTGGCCATCTGCAAGGATGTTGCCCAGAGGACGTCCAGATGTTTTTGATGTTTTACCATCCTTGTGGGAGGCTTCTCACATGTCCCCGCATAAGGAGCTGGAGCTGACAGAGGGAGCTCCTCCACGCTCTATCTGGATTCGAATCTGAGACCTGTCGGGCTTCAGTCCTGCCGGCACAGGGGTTTAACTCACTGTGCCACCGAGGGCTCCTTCCAATTCTATGATTCTATAACCACAGGCCCCTTCCTTTTTCCTCTCAGCCACTTAAGCTCATAGGAATTGTAGGAATCAAAGTCCCAGAACACCTGGAGGGTCAAAGTTTGCCCATGCCAGTGCTTTAGGCTACACCACAGAGGACTGAACTGGCAAAACCATCTCTGCTTTGCCTATGAAAACCCTATACAATGTGTGGGGTCGACAGGTGCCTTGAAGGCCACATCAGATATTTCCGAGTAGCTGCTGCTCCCAGTTGTTACAAACAGAGGAGTTAGTGACAGGAGTTTCTCTGGTACCAGTTCTCTCATTTCAGAAATTAAGGGAAGAACTATCGGAGAAGGATTTCAGTTCTCTGGGACACCCAGTAAGAATCCTCTTGCATGGGCAATGTATGGGATTATGCTGCAGTGGCTCCTCCCAGAGCCTGGAACTCCTATAGAGCAGTGTTTCTCAACCTGGGGGTCATCATGTGGATGGTTTCAGAGAGTTTGCCAAAAACCATCAGAAAACACATATTTCTGATGGTCTTAGGAAGCCTTTTAGCAGAGAAGGCTGAAGATCTCTCTGCTTGTCCTTCTCTTTCTTTTTTGTGTTGGTGAACTACAACTCCCAGAATGAAAAAACAACCCCATCCCCAACCCCACCAGTAGTTTATGTTGGCCATGTAGGTAATGTGCTAAGTTTGGTGAAGAGCCATTGTGGGCTGGGTTCAGAGTGCTCTTTGATTGTAGGTGAACTATAAATCCCAGCAACTACAACTCCCAAATGTTAAGGTCTTTCCCCCCAAACTCCATCAGTGTTCACATTTGAGTATATTGAGTATTTGTGCCAAGTTTGAGTATTTGGGTGTATTGAGTATTTGTGCCAGATCCATCATTGTTTGAGTCCACAGTGCTCTCTGGATGTAGGTGAACTACAACTCCAAAACTCAAGGTCAATGCCCACCAAACCCTTCCAGTATTTTCTGTTGGTCATGGGAGTTCTGTGTGCCAAGTTTGGCTCAATTCCATCGTTGGTGGAGTTCAGAGTGCTCTTTGATTGTAGGGGAACTATAAATCCCAGGAACTACAACTCCCGAAAAACAAACCCCTCCCCCAACCCCACCAGTATTCAAATTTGGGCATATGGGGTATTTGTGCCAAATTTGGTCCAGTGAATAAAAATACATCCTGCATATCAGATATTTACATTAGGATAATGACAATACATCCTGTATATCAGATTACGATTCAAGGTAGCGACAGTAGCAAAATTACAGTTATGAAGTAGCAACAAAAGAAATTTTATGGTTGGGTGTCACCACAACATGAGGAACTGTATTAAGGGGTCACAACATTAGGAAGGTTGAGAAACACTGGTCTAGAGAGACAAAAGCCCCTTCCACACAGCCATATAACCCAGAATATCAAGGCATAAAATCCCACAGTACCTACTTTGAACTGGGCAATCTGAGTCCGCACTGTCATATATCCCAGTTCCAAGCAGATAATGTGGGATTTTATTCTGCTGTGTGGAAGGGGCCCAGGACCACCCCCCTTGCCATTTGCAGGCAGGTGAAAACATACCTTTTCTTCCAGGTAGGAGAGCCTGCACCAGATTTACCTCATCTTGGAAGCTAAGCAGGGTTAGTACAAGGACGAGAGATCACTGATGAATACCAGGTGCTGTAGGCTGTATTTTAGGCAAACTACACCTGAATATCCCTAAGAAAACCCTAAGAAATGTGCAAGTCTGCCATAAGTCCACAGGAGAGTGTGTGGAGGTGGCCACAGATCAACTGGGCAGAATTTTAGGAGAGAAAGAAAGGAAGAATGCTTGGATGGTCAGCATTGTCCCTCAGGTGTGTCCTCTCAGACTTGCAGAGAGCCACGTGATCATTTTCCTTCCAGATGGAAAGGTATGAGGAAAGAAAGACAAATGTCCAGCGGTGAGCATTGCTCAGGTCTATGCATAACTAAAGAGTGGTTTCTCAGGAACTGTAGGAATGTGTCTGTAGCACTAATCCAGACTCAGCACTGATAGCTTTGTTAAAATAGAGAAGGGGAGAGTGAGGGCACACTTCTTGTAGAAGGAAGAGGAAGCACCCCCTAAGACAGGCATGGGGAAACTTTGGCCCTCCAGGTGTTTTGGACTTCAACTCCCACCATTCCTAACAGTCTCAGACCCCTTCCTTTTCCCCCTCAGCCACTTAAGCCGCTTAACCCATGCCTGCCCTAAGGAGTTCTGGAGATGGGCAAAAGTGAGTGTTTATTACTGCATTATCCAGTGAGATCAACTATTTCTCATTCCCCTGAAAGTCTTGTTTCAGAATATGGGTTTTCTGGGTGCACCTTGAAATGCTGTGAAAAATATGCAAAACGTAGTGGAATCACAATGGGACATCGTCAATGAGCCGTGCACCCCAGACAATAACAATTCCATTCTGCATTGTTTGCCCTATAAATCCACCCATTTGTCACGCCCAAATTACTAGTTAATCTCTCCAGGTAGCAATTGTTTTGCAGAGGTGTCATGGCGTTTTGTGCTTGGGGAAATGTGGGTATATTTCCTTGGGTTATGTTTTCATTCATGCTGCGGTTGATGTATGAAATGCGATTGTACTAGTCTGTCTATTGATGTGATGATACAGTTAAAGTGACAGCTACCCCACTCCATGCATGGTTTATGAATCTTTTATTTTTAATTTTATTTGGGTGACATGTGTTGCCCTGCTATGTCCTGTTAATAAGAGAATATATATGATATTTATTTGTAAGTGGCGAAGAGCAGGTAACCACTTTTACATATTATATGTGAATGTGGACAGGATATTGACTTATTGTCTCACACACAGCTTGAGAAAGTTCCCTCTTTTGAATACAATTCCTAGAAACCTCTAGTCATAATATAATCCAAGAAAATAGTTTTCTTAAGCTTTGGTCCCTTAACTGTTAACTGCAGAAAGCATTCTCCATAATACCCCTGTGGTATGTTTTCTGAAGGGTAAGGAGAAAGATTCTACAGTACTATATACAGTACTATGCATGTAGTACAGTACTATGCATGCAGAAGGTCCCAGATTCAATTCCTGGCAAATAGCTTCTGTTAGAAAAAGCATCAGGGAGCAGATGAAGTGAAAGATCTATTCTCTGATCCTGTAGAAGCTGAGCCAATTCACATCCAATTCAACCCTAGGACCAAAGACCTGGAAGGGATTGTGGAGGTCATATAGACTATGCTCCTGCTCAACGGAGTCTCTGCAATGCAGGGTGAAACTACAGCAGCCTTGACAGATGGCTCTCCAGCCTTTGCTTAAATACTTTCAGGGAAGGAAGGAGGAGTCTTAAAGTGGCGCTTCCACCGTTGGAACAGCTCTTAGTCTTAGGAAACTTTTCCAAATATATGATCACAACAGAACACTATAGAAACAGGCACGGGCAAACCAAGGCCCGGGGACCAGATGCAACCCCCTGGACTCTTTTCTCAAGGCCTCCCCTCTCCCCACCATCCTATCCTTCCTTCCCTCTTTCCTCCCTCCCTTCCCTCCCTCCGTCCTTCCTTCCCTTCCACCCTTTTGCCCTTCCTTCCCTCTTTCCTCCTTCCTTACTTCTCTCTTTCTCCTTCCCTTTTGTTTTTCTTTCCTTTTTTCTTCTCTCCCTCCTTCCCCCGCTCTCTCTCCTTCCTTTTTCTCTTCCTTCTTTCCCTCCTTCCTCCCTCTGTCCTTTTCCCCTGCTTCCTTCCTTTTTACCCTCCCTTCCTTTCTTTTCCTTTCCTCCTCTTTCCTTCCTCTTTGCTTCCTTCTTTCCTTCCTTCCCTCTTCCTCCTTCCTTCCCCTTCTTCCTTCTCTTTTATCTTTCTTTCCTTCTCCCCTCCCTCCCTCCCTCCCCTTCCCCTCCCCTCCCCTCCTTTCCCTTTCCTTTCCTTCCTTCCCCTTTCCTTCTCCTTTCCCCTTCCACCCTTCCTTCCTTTTCCCCTTTCCTCCCTTCTTCTTCCTCCTTTCCTTCCTTTCCTTCCTTCCCTTTCCTTTCCCTTCCTTCCTTTTCCCTTCCTCTTCCTTCCTTCTCTTTTTTTTTTTTCCTTCTTTTTCTCCCCTCCCCTTCCCCCAGTCCTCCTCATTTCTTCCTCCCTCCTTCCTTTCTTTCTCTTTTTCCTTCCTCCTGGGAGAAGAGAAGGTGGAGAGGGAACATGAGAACTATGTTTCAAGATGTGA